ACTGGCGATACAGGCGCCGCCATCGCGCCCGGCTGAGATTTGATTTTTATTTTTGTTGTTGTTGAGGGCGGAGTCTACTCGGGAGGCTGAGGCAGGACAATGGCGCGAATCCGGGAGGCGGAGCTTGCAGTGAGCCAAGATGGCGCCACTCACTCCAGCCTGGGCCACAGAGCCAGACTCCGCCTCAAAAAACAACAACAACAACAAATCTCGAGTCTGTCCCATTCTGAATGTGAGGCATGAGGGACACCGTTCCTAAAGTTTAAAAGAAATTGTTCTGTATTCTGGCAGGATCTGCTCTGTTTCAGGCGCAGAGCGTATGGCTATGTCGGCAGGTGGGCAGAGCTCTATGTAACGTGTGTGAGGACTCAGTAACATATAGGCATGCTTTTCACAGAGCGCTTGTGCTCCCAGATTGGCTTCAGGTTTGAAACCCTAAGCTTCAGGTATGTGTCTCTGCTAATAATAGGGCTCTCCTCCCCAAGCCTACAAGAGACGAGAGAGCTAGCAAGGGAATGGTTTCCAGCGTGGGAGAATCCCAGAGAGAGGGCAAGACTGCAGCCTGGACCAACCAATCCACAGAGAATACTGCTCACCCAACTGCAGGCTCTGCCATGTTCCTCCTGACACCCCCAGGGATCTGCTGCCCACCCCCAATATACCACCCAAGGGACACATGGGACCCCACAAAGACACACAGGCGCTGGTGTGGAGAGCCCGCTGCATGGGATGAAGACACGGATTCGCTCCTTATAGGGAAGGTTTAGAAGTGCCTGGCTAAAATCCAACCCAATTATACAACGATTCTTGGCTGAGAATAAGAATAAGCTAATGGCTGGAGCTCTACAGAATCTCAAGATTTTTCGATGCAAATCCTACCACCAAACAGCTGTGAAAATAAACCAATGTTCCTTGATGGGCTTCCTCCAAGTGCGGGACCACCCCACACCCTGCTGTCTTGGGCCACTGTTTATCGCAAACACTGCAGTCTACATCCAGAGGACGGATCTCAAGGGGAACTTTCTGTTGACGCTCCTTCCACAGCATGGAGACGGGAGACAGGCACGCTCAGAGGTGACAGCAAATGCCATCTTCAACTTTCTAGGCCAGTGATTTAAGTGCAGGAACAGGGGTGGGAATTTAGTGGATATTCACTTGGAAGGTGTGCGAAGTCTCTTATTCACAGAACTCCCATCTCCCAAACAGAAATAACAAACCCCAAGCAAAGGTCAACACATCTTTTTTATGTACAAATGGGTCACTGGTACAGAGGGAGTTGCTTTTTATAAATATCTGCAGCAAATCCCCTAAAAAAGATGTAATAAAAACTCTGTCTCAGCACAAAGGGCCTATCCTTCCCCAAAAGTGTTAAAGTCCCCAGAGCCTGTGCTTAGCCAAACACTTGTGGGGCCTCCTGGGAAGAACAGCAGCGCTTTGGGACCAAGGCGAGAGCCTTCCCATCTCCCCGGAGAGCAGAGGTGACTTGAAGGTCATCTGTTGCCCAGGACTTGGGAGTGATTAAACTGTTTCTTCCCAAGACGTGCGGTCTTCTTTGTCAAGCTGCTGATTAAGCGGTCTCTCTGTTTCCTGGCAGTGACCCAGAGGGAGGGAGGAGAGGAACCTACAATCGCGTGAGGAAGTAAAAAACTCTGGGTATTTTGATAAAAAAACACTTGGCAATCACTGTAACCCTGTAAAGCCGATGTATCGAATTCACCAGAGGGAAAATCGTACGTTAGCATTCTGGAATCTATAAACGCAAGCATTTCTTTAGGAAGATCATTACTTAGCACCAATGTCTCTCTCTCTCTCTCTCTCTCTCATAATTTTTCCTTTTCCTCCGAACCCTTGGCTGTGATCAGCGCTGTCGGACCACAGCTCAGCAGTACTTTTAATCAGTAACACAGCTGGGCTCGAAGGGGAGTGCGGTCACACGCCACAGAACAAACAGCGCGCTCACACCAAACGGCAAGGCTCCTGGGGGCATCCTGGCTGGGGTTCGCAAGCGGACCCCCGGCCTCTTCCTGGGGCTGCTCTTTGGCACTCCAGGCTCAGGGGCTTTACTCAAAGCGACGTAGGTGGTTGTACAGCGACTGGACGTAGGTGAAGACGCACATGGGGTCCGGCTTGCGGCCCATCACCATCATGTCCTCCACTTCGATGAGGCGTTCACAGTTGGCCAGATTCCTGAAACACACAAGCCCCGTCAGAACGGCGGTCCCAGCCATCAGCCAGCCCCACAGCCGCGGCAGGGCCAGGATCTCCATCCTGGGAACAGAGCTCAGCCTCTCAGCCTGCAGCCAGAGATTCCCAAGGACCCACCAGCAGGGAATTCAGATAACCCTGGCAGAACCCTTGGAATCACTGACTCCAATGCAGTGTTTCCCAAACTCCCAGATTTGTGAGCCACCTATACAATTCATAGTTTCCTTTAAATACACTTACTTTATTTAATTTGGGTTTTTTTTTTTTTAGAGACCGGGGCTTGCTCTATTGCCCAGGCATAAGTACAGTGGCACGATCTTAACTCACTGCAGCCTTGATCTCCTGGGCCCAAGTGATCCTCACGCCTTGTCTTCCCAAGTAGCTGTGATTCCAGGCACACACTACCATGCCCAGCTAGTTTTTTTTTTTTTTTTTTTTTTGAGACATAGGTTCGCTCTTGTTGCCCAGGCTGTAGTGCAGTGGCACAATCTTGGCTCACTGCAACCTCTGCCTCCCGGGTTCAAGCGATTCTCCTGCCTCAGCCTCCCAAGTAGCTGGGATTACAGGTGTCCGCCACCACGCCTGGCTAATTTTGTTTTGTATTTTTAGTAGAGACAAGGTTTCACCATGTTGGCCAGGCTGGTCTTGAACTCGTGATCTCAGGTGATCCACCTGCCTCGGCCTCCCAAAGTGCTGGGATTACAGGCGTGAGCTACCACACCCGGCCCAGCTAGTTTTTTAAAAATAGTTTTGTAGAGATGGGGTGTCACTATGTTACCCAGACTGGTCTTGAATGCCTGCCTCAAGCGATCTTCCCACCTCAGCCTCCTCAGTAGCTGGGATTACAGGCACAGACGACCCACAGTACCTGGCATATTGTATTTAAATTTGAAGTGAAACTATATTTAAGTTTTTTTTTTTTTTAAAAAGTAGGCTGGATATGGTGGCTCACACCTGTAATCCCAGCACTTTAAGAGGTCAAGGCGGGCGGGTCACCTGAGGTCAGGAGTTCGAGACTAGCCTAACCAATATGGTGAAACTCCATCTCTACTAAAAATACAAAAATTAGCTGGGCGTGGTGGCGAGCGCCTGTAGTCCCAGGACGCTGAGACAGGAAAATTGCGTGGACCCAAGAGGTGAAGGTATCGCACCATTGCACTGCAGCCTGGGCGATGGAGTGAAACTCTGTCTCAAAAAAAAAAAAAAGTAAATATCAATAGTATATGTAATGCTGAGTTATTAAAATAAATGTAAAACTAATAAAGCAAAAAATAAATTTACCAAACATTTACCTCCTAAAAGTGCTTTTAGACCTTTTTTTTTTTTTTTACTGTGACCCATAGTAAGGAAGATATTTTCATCATGATTCAGCACATGCTTACATGTATGTGGAAATAAAGTTTCACAGAAATACTTCTTTACCACTACCTGTATTTTCTCAGTGATATTTCATGTTTATTGTCTCCCCTGCCCCTCCCCAACCCTACCTCTTTAAAATGCTGGTCATGGCCAGGCGTGGTGGCTCACGCCTGTAATCCCAGCACGTTGGGAGGCCGAGGCGGGCAGATCACCTGAGGTCAGGAGTTCGAGACCAGCCTGGCCAATATGGCGAAACCCCGTCTCTATTAAAAATACAAAAATTAGCCGGGCATGGTGGCAGGCACCTGTAATCCCAGCTACTCGGGAGGCTGAGGCAGGAGAATCGCTTGAACCCAGGAGGCGGAGGTTGCAGTGAGCCAAGATTGCCTCATTGCACTCCAGCCTGGGGGACAAGAGCGAGTGAGACTTCATCTCAAAAAAAAAAAAAAAAAATGCTGGTCATGAAGCACTAAATTGATTTTACAGTCTACTAATGAGTCATATCTGGCAGTTTAAAAGATTGCTTATCACGCCGGTAATCCCAGCACTTTGGGAGACCAAGGAGGGCGGATCACAAGGTCAAGATATTGAGGTCATCTGGCCAACATAGTGAAACCCTGTCTCTACTAAAAATACAAAAAATTAGCCAGGTGTGGTGGCGGGTGCCTATGGTCCCAGCTACTCAGGAGACTGAGGTAGGAGAATCGCTTGAACCCGGGAGGCGGAGGTTGCAGTGAGCCAAGATCACACCATTGCACTCCAGCCTGGGAGACAGAACGACGCTCCGTCTCAAAAAAAAAAAAAAAAGATTGCTTCAAATAATTGCCGCCCCACCCCCAGTCCCCCAGGGCCCTCTGCCTCCTGCCCTGGGAAATACTGGTTTAACTTGTGGCTCACTGGTTTAGACTCGTGTGTACACATGGCCTTTCACTGGGGCTCAGAGGGAGGCTGAAGGCCTCGTGGACATGGGAGGAGGAACATCAACAGTCAAGACACATCGCCCTGCGCATCTCAGCACCGAGTCCTGAAATAACAACAGCCAGCCTCTGGAATGCCCAGCCCTGCGCCCCCTGCCTCCTCTGACTCTGCTCACAGCAGGCCTGGGGCGCCTGGGCACCAGATGGAGCCGGCCTGACATTATTAGGCAGAACCAAAAAGGCAAAAACGATTGCACTTGGCCCGATGGTCAGTGCCCTTCTTTCAGCAGCTGTGTGTACTTTTGTAGTTCAGGGTGTCCCCAGTCTTTTGTGTGTTTTTTTTCCACCAACAAGCGCATGGCTGTCAGGGTTCAAATCCCAGCTCCATCTCTTCCGAGCTATTTATCTGTGGGCAATACACTTCATTTATCCAGGCCTCAGTTTCTCCATCTGTGAATTATATCCACCTTGAAAGAGTGGTATGAAAATTACAAACCCATGCCAATCAGGTGGAACAGCAAAGGACATGTCGAAAGAGCTAATAAACGTTAAAGATTAGGCAGGGCAAAGTGGCTCATGCCCGTCATCCCAGCACTTTGGAAGACCGAGGCAGGAGGATCACTTGAGCCCAGGAGTTTGAGACCAGCCTGGACAACACAGCAAAACCCTGTCTCTATAAAAAATTTTAAAAATTAGCCAGGCATGGTGGTGTGCACCTGTAGTCCCAGCTACTCGAGACTGAGGTGAGAGGATCGCTTGAGGCCAGGAGGTGGAGGCTGCAGTGAGCCCAGATTGCACCACTGCACTCCAGCCTGGGTGACAGAGCCAGACCCTGTCTCAAGAAAACCCAAACCAAAACAAACAAAAAAGTCAGAGATTATTCTTATTGCCATTTTGAGGATCATGCCTCGCTTTAAGAAGCAGGGTGGATCACAGAGAAGAGGCCTGAATGTGAAATTGAAATAGTTGAGTTCAAACCCTGACTCCTCCAATTGCTTCACCATTCTGTGCCCACTTCCTTAGCAGAAAATCGGAATACTGACCGGGCACGGTGGCTCACGCCTATAATCCCAGCACTTTGGGAGGCCGAGGTGGGTGGATCACCTGAGGCCAGGAGTTCCAAACCAGCCTAACCAACGACGAAACCCTGTCTCTACTAAAAATACAAAATTAGCCAGGTGTGGTGATGCACACCTGAAATCCCAGCTACTTGGAAGACTGAGGCTGGAGAATCACTTGAACTCAGGAGGTGGAGGTTTCAGTGAGCCGAGATCGTGCTACTGCACTCTAGCCTGGTGACAGAGACAGACTCCGTCTCAAGAAAAAAAAAAGAAAAGAAAAAGAAAATCAGAATACTACCTCTGCTGTCCCTCCCAGTGGGCCTGTTGTGAGGCTGTGATTCCACAATGTATCTTTATGCATCTTGTTCCCCAGAGAGCCCAGCCAGAGGGGAGACCCCAGTGAGTGAGACTCCTCTGACCCATCCCAGTTTGGCACGACGCACTCAGCACTTTCTACCAGGACTCACGTGGCTGTGTGCTCCAGAGACAAAGACTGTAACATTATCCGCAGACCCTGCTCTGCTGTGCTGGCTGGACGCCAGGCCTCCCATCAGAAACCAAATGTCAAGGCGAAATGGAGACATCTGTCCTGGATCCCCTCCCCACCTCCTGCTTGGGGTTGTAGCGGGTGGCCTGTAAGTGAATTCAACAGGCTTTGTGGGGTGATGAGTGGGTTTGGCCCAACGAGCGGGCACCTTTTCTCCCTGGGACAGGCCAGGGCAGGGCTCGATGTCAGGGAAGTCGGCCCTCTGATACGAGCAGGCATGTAAAGGTGCTTTGTCGACGATTAAGGATTGAAAATCTGAGTTCAGGCTGGGCGCGGTGGCTCACACCTGTAATCCCACCATTTTAAGAGGCTGAGGTGGGCAGATCATTTGAGGTCAGGAGTTGGAGACCAGCCTGGCCAACATGGTGAAACCTCGTCTCTACTAAAAATACAAAAATTAGCTGGGCGTGGTGGCGCATGCCTGTAATCCCAGCTACTTGGGAGGCTGAGGCAGGAGAATCACTTGAACCCGGGAGGCAGAGATTGCACTGAGCCAAGATCATGCCACTGCACTCCAGCCTGGGTGACAGAGCAAGACTCCATCTCAAGAAAAGAAAAGAAAAGAGAGAAGAGAGAAAAGAAAAAGAGAAGAGAGAAAAGAAAATGAGAAGAGAAGAGAAAAGAAAAAAGAAAAGAAAAGAAAAAAGAAAAGATCTGAGTTCAGAGAGGCTGGGAACCTGAGTTCACCTTCCTGAGCCATCATTTCACATCTGGTGCCCTCCTTTCCACCTGCCACACAGCTGGGGCACCTCCACTCCCACACCTGCTACTTGGAGGATCCCAGGTGTGTGGGAACAGGCTCTGCACATGCCCAGGTTATCAGCACTGACAGGGGTGGCCTCAGTGGTGCCACATGTGAAGCAGGGACAGCATGAGGACTCTAGGACCGCCGCCCATCTAAACACCCCTGTCAGAAGCACCAATCACCTCTATAAAGGCCCTGCCTCAGCTTGTTCATCTCAGGGTCCAGGGAAAGGGGACCCAATTTCCTCCAAGGACAGCTCAGAACCCTCTGCAGATGCTCTGACCACGAGAAAGTTCTTCTGACATTTCTTATGCTATTTGTGCCTGTGTGTACTTTCTACCTACTGACCCCAC